CTCGTATACAGCATCACGTTGTGGCAAGAACACGTACAACACGAAGACGTATGATTTGTCAGCATATGCATCATCCCACACCGTCGTTAAGCTGTACATTGACAGTGGCTTCGCGGGCCCAGGCGAGTACTTTGTTATCGATTACGTCAAGATCACGTTTGATGACAATGATTGTTCAACAACCACGACGACCACGACGACCACGACGACCACGACGGCCACGACGACCACGACGACCACGACGACCACGACACGAACACCAGATCAATCTTGCCCAGTGATTCCATACAGTATCACACAACAGGGCCTGACGCTCCCTGCAGGTGATACCTTTAGCGATGGCGATCATGTGAACATTCGACTTCAGTCGGGCGCTTCAAGAAATATCCACTTTGAAGGCAAATGCCAATATTATGACATGTATGAGTGTGCAGGATCGAAGCACGACATCGCCTCGCATATCGGAAGCAATTTCATACCGTGGACATTGTTCAACTTGGCGGCAGGAGACTGCATTACGTGGATCCAAGTAGCAGGATACAACGAGCATTACGGTGAATGCAATGAGCCACCCTATTGCCTGAATTCAGCCTCATCAAGTTCGACCAGCTCGACCTCGAGCACGTCTAGCACGTCCAGTACGTCTAGCACCAGCTCCACGAGCTCGACCTCGAGCACGTCTAGCACGTCTAGCACGTCCAGTACGTCTAGCACGACCTCGACCAGCTCGACGTCGAGCACGTCGTCCAGCTCGAGCACGTCCAGTACGTCCAGTACGTCAAGCACATCGAGCACGTCTAGCACGACGTCGACCAGCTCCACGAGCTCGACCTCGAGCACGACGTCGACCAGCTCCACGAGCTCGACCTCGAGCACGTCTAGCACGTCCAGTACGTCTAGCACGACCTCGACCAGCTCGACGTCGAGCACGTCGTCCAGCTCGAGCACGTCCAGTACGTCCAGTACGTCAAGCACATCGAGCACGTCTAGCACGACGTCGACCAGCTCCACGAGCTCGACCTCGAGCACGACGTCGACCAGCTCCACGAGCTCGACCTCGAGCACGTCTAGCACGTCCAGTACGTCTAGCACGACCTCGACCAGCTCGACGTCGAGCACGTCGTCCAGCTCGAGCACGTCCAGTACGTCCAGTACGTCAAGCACATCGAGCACGTCTAGCACGACGTCGACCAGCTCCACGAGCTCGACCTCGAGCACGACGTCGAGCAGCTCCACGAGCTCGACGTCGAGCACGTCTAGCACGTCCAGTACGTCTAGCACGACCTCGACCAGCTCGACGTCGAGCACGTCGTCCAGCT